CAGAGTTGAGACAAGGTTTCTCTGTGTAACAGCCCTGGCTGTCCTAGAACTCACTCTGGAGATCAGGCTGGCTGCAAAGTCACAGATCCGCCTGCCTCTGCCTCCAAAGTGCTGTTTTTTTCTTGGATTTTTCTGGATCAAATGTAGAGCTTCACTAGTGCCAGGCAAGTTGTATCACCGTGTTAGCTGGTTTTAAGTTAGCTACTTGGCACAAGCTAGAGTCACTTTTGAAGAGGGAGAAAAATGTCACCATCAGACCAGGGCTGTCAGCAAGCCTGTGGGGTATTTTCTGGATTGATGATTAGTATGGGAATGCCTAGCTCACAGTAGATGCTGTCATGCCCCCCCCACCCCCCGTTGGTGATCCTGGGTATGGGATGGGGGAGCAGGCTTGGGTGGGGATGGCTGGAGAGATGGCTCAATGGTTAAGAACTCTTGTTGTTCTTACAGAGCATCAGGGTTCAGTTCCCAGTACCCTTGGCTTACAATTGTCCATAGACAAGACATACAGGCAAAAGACTTACACACATAAAATAAATCTAAAAGAGAGAGAGAAAGAGAGAGAGAGAGAGAGAGAGAGAGAGAGAGAGAAAGAAAGCCAGGTAAGCCATGAAGAACAAGGCAGTCAGTAACACTCCTCCATGGCCTCTGCCTTAAATTCCTATCCTGCCTTCCTTTGTTGATGGACTATAAAGTGGAAGTATACTCGGAAATAAACCCTTTCCTCCCTAAAATGCTTTTGTTCGTGGTGTTTTATCACAGGCATAGAAAGTTAAGTAAGACAACCACCGAGCTACATTCATCTTCCTTGGATTTTAAATTGTAATTATAAAAGAATATTTATTTTTAAAGATTTATTTTTAAAAATTGGGCGTTGGTGGTGCATACCTTTAATCCCAGCACTGGGGGGGGGGGGCAGAGGCAGGTGGATCTCTGCGAGTTTGAGGCCAGCCTGGTCTCCAGAGCGAGGGCCAGTATAGACTCCAAGGCTACACAGAGAAACCCTGACTCAAAAAACCAAAAAAAAAAAAAAAAAAAAAAAAAAAAAAAAAAAAAAAAGATTTATTTTTATGTGTCTGTGTGAATGCCATGTGAATGTAGTGCCTACAGAGGCCAGAAGAGGGCGGTAAAACCATCGGGGAGGTGAAGTTACCAGTGATTGTGAATCACTGGATGTGGATGCTGGGAATTGAACTCAGATTCTCATCTTTTTTGTTTGTTTTGGAGACATGGTCACACTGTGTATCCCTGGCTGGCCTAAAACTTGCTATGTGAACCAGGCTGGCTTGCAACTCAGAGATCTACCTACTTCTGCCTCCTGCATGCTTGGCTTAAAGTTGTGCACTACCACGACCAGTGAACAGTAACTTGCTCTTAACTGCTGAGCTATCCAGGTCCAACTCTTAGGTTTTTAAATCTAGAGCAGGTGGGGCTCTGGTCATATCTCAGTGGTAGAGCATTTGCCTAACAATATTTGAAATATTGTGAAATAAAATATTCACGTTGTGAGATAAAAATTTGATCTAGGTTATTCCTGACAAGGACAGACTCACCCTTCATCCAGCACATGTTTGGCACACGCAGTGCTGACTAGCCTGTTCCTTTCTTTTCAACCTTTCTCCTATAATGAAGACAGACACAGCTGGGGGCTGGAGACATGGCTCAGTGGTTAGAGCACTTGCTGCCTTTGCAGAGAAACTGGGTTCTGTTCCCAGAATGCCGATGGCAGGCAGCTCACAACCACCTATAACTCCAGTTCTAATGGGATCTAATGCCCTCTTCTGATCTCCATGAGCACCAGGTACTCACATGGTTCATATACATATATCAAGGCAAAACACTCATGTACATAAAATAAAATAAATCTTAAAAAAAAAAAAAGACAAGGCTTGAAGTGGTTCATGAGGCGTAACATATTTGTTGGATAGTTAGCTGTATGGGCACCTGACCTGAGTCTCTGTGTGTGTGTGTATGTGTCTGTCTGTCTGTCTCTGTCTCTCCCTCCTTTCCTTCCTTCCTCCCTCTCCACCCCTTTGTTTTCTGCCCTTCTTTGTTTTGTTGGTTTCATTTTTGAGACAGGATTTCTTTATGCAGTCCCAGATGGCCTGGAACTTTCTATGTAGACCAGTCTGGCCTTGAACTCTAAGAGATCAACCTGCCTCTGTCTCTGAAGTGTTGGGAGTAAAAGTATGAGCCACCACAACTGGCCACTACTCTCTTTTTCTTCCTTCCTTCCTTCCCCTCCTCCTCCTTCTTCTTCTGTTTTTTAACTTAATTTCCTTTTGAGATAGGGTCTCTTATAGCTCAAGCTGGCCTTGAATTCACTATGTAGCTGAAGCTGGACTTGAATTCCTGATTTTTCTGCATTGTCTTCCAAGTGCTTGGGACTACAGGAATGCACCATCACACCTGGCTCCCCGCACTCCTCCCCCAACACACACACACACACACACACACACACACTTTGTTTCGTTTGAGAGAGGATCATAGCTCATAGCCCAGCCTTGATCTTCCTAACTCAGCCTCCTGAGCCAATAACTGGAATAATAAAACCACATTAGTCCTGGCTCACTTTCTCCCACTGCCCTCTCTGCTCCAGCTTCACTGACTCTGGTCTGTTCCTCAATCGAGCTATACCGATCTACCTAGTTCTAATTCTACTGCTTACAGTCTGAATCTTAGACAAAATGCCCCTTAGCCTGGTCACTGCAGCCTTGTACCTTCCATCCAGCTCAAACATCACCTTTCCCCTACTGCTTTGTCTCTACTCCATCCCCTTCTCTCTGGTACCCTTTTATCCTAATGCAACCTCTGGAGTAGTTACTTCCTCCTCTGGACCTCAGTTGCCTCATACGGGAAATGTGAGGGTAATCGATCCTGTAGATTCTCTACAAGCGCCCTTACTGAGTCATCTTGCTGCCCCTCATCTCTTATCTTCATAAATGATATTGTTTCCACTTAAGATCTGTGAGGAAACAGGCTCGGAGTATGGTAATGACTACTTCAAGACAGTGGCTGGTAGAACTGGGATTCTAACAATGCAAGCTCATGGAGATAACCCAGGAAGGCAGAAGAGGGAGGTTAAGTCTGGAATTGCAAGAATGGAATGAGAGACTGTCAGTCTTTGAATAAGTATCCCTCATCCCTCCACCCCCATTACCCCCCCCCCCCCCCTTTCCCCTGCTGGTCGGGCCTGAGCCCAGGCACAGAGGAGTAATCATGGAAGCTGTTATTCCTGGGGGTAGGACTGGTCCTTCCTGTGTCCTGAGGCCCACAGGTTATGCTCCACCATCTGCAGAGCATCAAGGCTGAGTCTGAAGCCCAGAGCCCCTATTGCAAGCCAGTTTCTTATCATTTTGACCTTTTCTTCTGTCAATCAACCCCAGGCTCAGCCAGCCTCTCAGAAGGCAGTGAGGGACCCAGCTTGATCCCCCAGTGCCAGCTTTGGGCTGGTTTCTGAAGCCCCCTATCCTGTCATTGTCTCTAGACTATTGCCTAGCTGAAGTCATGGCTGAGATGGGCTTCAGAGCCAAAGCATGGGAAGGCCCCTTGCTGGTCGAGATGGCCATTCATCCCCTAAGGAGGCTTGGGAACACCACTTAGGTCCCTGATGAACTCTATACACTGCTTTTTGTTTTTGTGGTTTGTTTGCTTGTTTCAGACAGGGTTTCTTTGTGTAGTCCTGGCTGTCCTGGAACTCACTCTGCAAACTAGGCTGACCTTGAACTCACAGAGATCCACCTGCTTCTGCCTCCTGGGTGCTGGAATTAAAGGTGTGGGCCACCACTGCCTGTTTGCTTTGTTTCACTTTGCATGGCCCACCCACTCTGACCCCACACTGGCCATTTGACCGCCCCTGCTCACCATGTTTTAGGTTGTCCTTCCATTCGCCCACATAGTGATCGCCATTCACTGCAAACACTTGGTGCCTCATTCCATTCTTCAGGGCTTTCCGGTCCCAGTCCTTCCACAGAGGCTCTGATTTCTTTGGACACTTGTTGACAGGCATGATGGCTGCTTCTGTGGTGTTGGAGGGTGCTGGCGAGAGGTAGGAGCATCAGGGGCTCAGTATATCTGTGTTATCTCTGGGATCCTGGGGCTTCCTGGCGAGGTGCCTGCCTGAGTTCCAGTAGGGCAGGTCATGTGTGTTCTGAGTCCCCAGGGCAGGTGAGCAGCCCTCGTGGGGATCCTTCTGTGCTGGACTGTGTCGTGGGGACTGGACCAGGACAGCCCCCTCTCTTGCATCCTCCTGGGGCCAGTCTATGGGGATGTGATGGCACAATCCCTTTGGAACCCAGGGAGACCAATAGCAACTCAGGGTTTGTGATGATATCAGGGAGAAGCTTCCCCTGGGAAAAATGATGGTCACATACTTAATGACTAGAAGGACCAATCAGAATGGGTTATGATGGAAGAGGAGCCCAGCAGGAAGGATCAGGTGGTGGCAAGTGCTGGGACAACTCCAGGAGAGGCAGAGGGTATTAGGCAGACAGCAGTTGCCTTCCGCACAAACTACAGGAACACCCTGGCCCAGCACCTGCACTGTTACCCCCTTTGGCGCTATGTACCAGGTAGTGGGGACAGATGGAGAAGCTTAGGGTTTGCCTTTCAGCTGGGGCAATCCTACAAATTAAAGAGACTGATTCCAAGTTGATCAACTGTCCCTGACGGAAGGTCTGTCTATACAGTGAGACCTTATCTCAAAATAAACACAAGAGGAAAGTCCCCAGCCTCCTCCCACTTCTGACCCAATCACTCTCCTCAAGCCCCTGGCTAGCTTCTTCTATGGCTCTATCTGCTAGAACCTATAGAGAGACAGTGGGTGGCCCAGGGCCTCCTCCCAGTGTCTGGGAGCCTGCATTTGTGTTCCTCACGTCCCCGGAATCTCCAGAGAGGACATTTATGTCTTTCCATCTGTTTCCATGGAGTTTGCTTAGGGGTGATAAAAAAACAGTCTTGTCTAAATCCTTGGGAACCCTGTCCTCCTCAACAAAAAATACTATAAATCCATAGGTTCTGAGGCTGCACAAATCCACTCCCATGAAACCTTGCACCAGCAGCACACACAGATACTGCCAATCAAAATAACCTCAAGTCTGAGCCAGTTCCAGGAGACCATGGCATCAGCATCCGCCCGCAGGGCCAGCCACAAAAATATGTGCTTCAGTTTGGACACTGTGCCTGCCACCTGTGCAGTTGCACAGCCTGTGACCCCACAGAAGGGACTGTTCTTTGCTCACACTTTGTTGTTACACTGTTTTTAAAAATCTCTTTTTAAAGATTTATTTATTTATCATGTGCACGCCATTTATACAGTGCATGCCAGAAGAGAGCACCAGATCCCATTATAGATGGTTGGGAATTGAACTCAGGATCTCTGGAAGAGCGGCCAGTACTCTTTAACCTCTGAGCCATCTCTCCAGCCCTGTAGCCAGTGTTCTTAACTGCTGAGCCCCTACACAGTCATTTCTCCACATGCCCTTTAATTGCTTCACTGTGTAGAAATCTGGATTCCTGATAGGGCCTCAGATGGGGAGTGGGAGCCTTGAGAGAGGCAGTGGGCAGCCCTCAAGAGGCGGAGACAGATGGATCTCTGTGTGTTCGAGACACACAGAGAACCTGTGTACAGGTTCTAGGACAGTCAGGACTACACAGAAACCCTGTCCTGGGGAGAAGAAGGAAGGAAGGAAGGAAGGAAGGAAGGAAGGAAGGAAGAAGAAAAGAAGGAAGGAAGGAAAGAAGGAAGAAAAAGGGGGCAGTTGTATGCAAGAATTTTGGCACTGGCAGAATCCTGGGGTTACCAATATGCATTTACAATATCTTTATATATTCTTCAAGATGGATCTTGGCAGCACCTTTTCCCTCTGAGAGTACCCTGCCCAGTATCATTCTACCACCATTCTCAGTAGAGATGACAGGTACCATGTCTTTTTTCTGTTTCTCACGGCACATAGTAGGTCCTCAACCAAAGTGACAATGTGTCCTGGGCTCTGCACTAGATTCCCGTAAAGCTATGGTGTCAACAGGTGTTACTGCTACATCTGTGCATCATAGATTCTACTCCCCACCCCACCCCCACAAGACAGGGTTTCTCTGTGTAGCCTTGGCTGTCCTGGAACTCTGTAGACCAGGCTGGCCTTGAACTCACAGAGATCCACCTGCCTCTGCCTCCCCAGTGCTGGGATCAAAGGCGTGCGCCACCACTGCCCTGCATAGATTCCACTGTTGTCCCGCATTTTTCAGAATTCAAGGAGAGGTAGAAGTGGGCTGGAAAGGAAAGACTTCCAAGACTGCACAGGTTGTTTTGTTTCCAAAGAAAAAAAGAGACCAGTGCGGACTGAGAGACAGCACACAGGCAGCGTCTTTTCTGAACCCCAGCCACCCTGTGTCCACCTGGCTCACCTGTAATAGCAGCCTTGGGCTTCACCCTCAGCGGGCAGCTAGGATTGCTTCCAAGTCTGGGACTCTGGAGGTTGTTATGACAACAGCAAAGCAATCCTGCAGTGTCCGCCTCTTCCTGCAGAGGCAGGGTAGCGGTAATTTTGAGGGCAAGGAAAGTCCTATTTGTTCCTAGTCTTGTAGGACAGCTTTGAGTGTCTTTGGGAAGCTCTGGGGAGCATCTCCCAGGAAGCTGTGTGGCATGCATTTTACAGATGCAAGTTCTTGCTTTGCTCACAAGGCTCATCTTATAATGAAGCCTTGAAGACCCTGGAAGACCTGCCTAGCCCCTCCACTTTGCTCTTTGTCCTGCTGTTCCTGGAACACCATGTTCCTGCCTCAGGCATTGGACTCTTCCAGAGCTTCTAGGACAGCTCTCTCTCTCTGCACTAAATGGTGGCTCTTACCTTCCTTTACGTCAGAGCTTTGTTCAAACATCAGCCCCTCGTAGAAAAGTTCTCAGAACCACCCTATTTGAAATTGGAATCTCCTCATGCTTCCTCCCTGTTTATGCTGTTTAAACACTTTGCACCACTACTAACACACCCACCCCACCTGCAACCACCTATAGTTACTGTCCATCTCTAAAGACAAAGTTGCTTTCATGATCAATTTTGTTTCGTTTTGTTAGCTCTGGTTGTCTTGGAACTCACTGTGTAGACCAAGCTGTCCTCACAGAGATCGCCTGCCTCTGCATTCCAAGTGTTGGTATCAAAGGTGTGCGCAACTACACTTGGCTGTCATTCTCACTTTTATCTTGTGAAAAAAAATAGAAACAAACAGCAACAATAAAATACTCAACCATGAAAAAAAAAAAAAAAAAAAAAAAGATGGTTTAGTGGATAAAGGCACCAAGCTTGGTGACCTGAGTTAGATCCCTAGGACACACGGTGGGAGGACACTCACATGGGAGTGCAAACATGGTAGAAAGAGAGCTGACTCCTGCAGATTGTCTTTGACCTCCATGTTCACACACACATACACACACGCACGCACATACACTCTCACACACAGAGAATACAAATTCCAAACACACAGGAAAACATAGCTGTAACAAATATTGCCACTTCCCCTTCTTGCACTCAATACATGCCGTCATTCTGCCAAATCTGAAAATAGAGAAAGCTTTATAGGTTTTAATTGTTAGAACTCAGAGATCCTTCTGCCTCTGCCTCTGCCTCTGCCTCTGCCTCTGCCTCTGAGTGCTGGGATCAAAGGTGAGTGCCACCAAGTCTTTTTCATTCTACTACCTTCAGCCTTCTTATGCTGTTGGTGAAAAGTGACCTGCTACGTCACTGTGAACTCAACTGCTTCAAAATTGCTATCTCAAGTACTCAGTTGGCCCAGCTAGGTTCTAGAGTCTGCACTGGCTGACAATGGTTCTCCTCATAACCTTCTACTTTTCCCTCAGGCACCCAGCCAGCAGCCACGGCCAGCCTTTAGCCTGGTACAAACTGTCCTTTGGCTGCTGGCCCTGTCCTGAGCCTCCTTACCACCTACTGAGTAGTACCTTCATGACCAGGTGCTCAACCTTTCAGGGTCAGACAACAACCCAACATGCTGCATCTCGCATCCTCACTGTGAGAGGCTGGCACCTTTTTACAGTTTTTCGTTTCATTCTTTTTTTTTTTTCTTTTTTGGTTTTTGATTTTGTTTTTTTGAGACAGGGTTTCTCTGTAGCTTTGGAGCCTGTCCTAGGATGTGTTCTGTAGACTAGACTAGCCTAGAAATCACAGAGATCCACCTGTCTCTGCCTCCTGTGCACCACCACCACCCATCTTTTTTGCAGTTTTAAATAAAATTCAGAGGAAGCCATGTCTGCCTTGCAAAGAAAGATCTGTGCTATGATTTATCTTTATTACAATCTGACCAAAAGGGCAGGTTATAAACAAACATGAGATTGTTCTCCCTATGGGGTCAGAATCTGGGGGCATTTTTTAAAAATTTATTTTTATTTTATGCGTATGAGTGTTTTCCCTTTGTACCATGTGAGTGTAGTGTCTGTAGAAGCCAGAAGAGGGTGTCAGATCCCCTGGAACTGGAGTTACAGACAGTTGTGAGCCACTGTGTGGGTGCGGGGAATGGAACCCTGGTCCTCTGGAAGAGCAGCCAGAGCTCTTAACTAGTGAGTCATTTCCCCAGCCCTGGTAGCATTTCTCACAAGTCCATAAGGAGGTCCGTTGGATTAGCCAGTGTCCATCTTAAAGGTCCGTTGGATTACCAGTCAATGTATCACAGTCTTAAAGGCCCTTTTGTTGTTGTTGCTAAATATTTTTTTTTAATTTTTATTTTATGTGTTCGAGTGTTTTGCCCGCATATGTTAAATGCAGCACATGCCTGCCAACTGCAGAGACCAGAAGAGGGAGCCAGATACTCTGGAACAGTTATACCTGGTTGCAAATCACCATATTGGTGCTAGGAACCAAAGCCCAGTCCTCTGTAAGAAGAGTAGATGCTTGTCACCTCTCAGCCATCTTCCCAGACCTTGAATACATTTATAACAATCATTGCCAGATCTGCAGGGTTGGCATTGGGCCTGACTCTTCTCAAGGACTTCATTTACAGCTTGAG